ATATAACTCGAGTTCTAAAGGTCCATTCGATATTCAGACAAGCAAGAATAAACCTACACATCTTCTATGGCCGCCATGAACCTTATATCTGAGTTGAAGCCTTTCAAGAACCAATGGAAGGTTCAAGTGAAAATTGTCCGCCTTTGGAAAGAGTATTCTGCAGCTGCTGGGGAGACTATCGAAATGGTCTTCCTCGATGATAGAGTAAGTTAAATTTTTTAGAAATGATCGAGTTTTATTCTATTTCTCTTTTTGACATATGAAGTTTACTTATTTAATTTAATATTTTTGCTACTAGGGAGACAAGATAGCTGGAACCGTGAAAAGAGAACTGGTGGGGCAATTCGATTGTCTGGTACAAGAGGATTTTAGTAGATGATTTCTTAATTTTTTTGTATCATCATGTATCTATAAGATAAATACATATATAAGACAAAAAGTGAAAACAAATAGCTATGAATCAATGCTTCGTTTCGCAGCTATACTAATATCTCATTATATGACTATATGATTTTTATTACTAATTCACATCCACTACCTATTTTTAGTTAAACAAATTAATATACCAAATTATTGTTCGATCAAAGTCAAAATAATCTCACCCTGCGCAGGGCGCGGGTCAACACCTAGTTCACCATATAAGCAAGGAATGTTACATAAGGTTTTAATTTTTAGGGGCAAATTAGAGTTGGGTTTAAGAATCATAGCTCTAATGTATTATTTTCTAAAATATTTAGAGCCAATTTAGAGTTGGGTTTAAGAAATAAAAAGTTTTGATAGGGATGGGGCTCTATTAGGTTGAAAATTTATGTTTTTTACGGTTAGATGATAATGTTTTGCTTTAAAGTCCAAATTGCGAATTTTTCTTTTCAAAACTGTAAAATTGAGTTTTATCTTCAATTCATTAAAAATTAGTTTATTTTTACCAAAACTACAAAAATAAATTTGCCACCGGTATAAAGTTAATAAATAACCACTTGTCAATTATTCAAACTGATCCATTTAGTTTTTAAAAATATAATTTTTGGATATTATTAGACAAATAAATAAATTATATTAAATTAATTTTGAAACTTTATATATTCTAAATGGAAATATTCTACCAACTACTCCCTCCGTTTCAAAAAGTTAAACGTTTTCGTTTTTTCACACATATTAAAAAAAACATAAAATTTTGATTACCAATGCATCATTTATAATAGATAATAAATCTCTATATTTTTAACCAATAAAATATTAAGAAACACAATTATTTTTTTGGAATCTACAATTTTTCATTAAATCATACATTGAAAATGTAAAAAATATATATTTTTGAAACAAATATCATTTCTAGAATGTTCATCTTTTTGAAACAGAGGGTGTACTTTTTAAGAAAATATTAAGGAACTTGATAACGCTCTACCAATTAAGTCATATGACACTTTTTTTTATTTTCCATCACTCAAACATTGAAAAGTGAAAATATATCTGAACCGGACCCATTACATTCTAAGTTTTGATCTATAATTCTAATCTATAACATTATTTAAGAAGTAATTTTGCTGAGGTGTCATGTTCTCCATAAGTTTAGGTAATTTTGTTTATTTACCATATTTTTAATATTTATATATAATTTCTTTATAAATACAAAAAAATTATATGAATATATCCTATCTATCTATACTATTATTTGCGAAGTGATTTTTCGCAACGGAGCTCTCACATTAAAAGTTAGCATGGTAAATATCGTTTATACCCTTAATGAAAAAATATAAATTATACACAAATAAAAAACGAATTTTAATTCTATTAATTAGATAAGTGAATAAAATTAGTAATGATAACAATAATTATCCAAAATCAAAAAAAAAATATTTTAAGATAAAAAGATAATTCATCTGTACATTGTGTTGTTATCTTAAACTATATTTTAATATAAAAATTAAAAATACAAAAGAATTAAAAATTATTTGATTAGATGAGTTATTAAAATTATCTATTATTTGCGAAGTGATTTTTCGCAACGGAGCTATCACGTTAAAAGTTAGCATGGTTAATATTGTTTATACCCTTAATGAAAAATATAAATTATACACAAATAAAAAACGAATTTTAATTCTATTAATTAGATAAGTGATTAAAATTAGTAATGATATCAAGAATTATCCAAAATCAAAAAAAAAAAAAATTTAAGATAAAAAGATAATTCATCTATACATTGTGTTGTTATCTTAAACTATCTTTTAATATAAAAATTAAAAATACAAAAGAATTAAAAATTATTTGATTAGATGAGTTATTAAAATTATTAATAATAAAAATAATCCAATATATAAAAAATATTTCAAATAAAAAGATAATTACTATATACATTGTGTTGTTATCTAAATAATATCTTTTAAACTAAATTTAAATAATAAAAAATAAACACATAAAAATAATAATCAAGTAAAATTCTTAATTTTATATAGTTATAATTTTTTAAAATAATGAGTGATTTCTAAGATTTATTTATTTATAGACATTAATAAAATTGTTAAGCCCGCAAGTGCGGGCAAAACTCCTAGTTACAATTGTTTCTAATCTCATGTATAGATAATTATATAAAAATTCTAAATTTCCAAATACATATAAAAACAATCATATGTAATTTTAAATTTGTCAATACAAAAATTTTATATTTTAATTACATACATTCACCCTGCATGAAGCACAGGTGTTATCATAATCTGATTAAAAAAAAAGAAATCTTAATCAATTTAATGGAGAAGCTAAAAATGAAAATCAGCCAATATTAATTATTAATGAATTAAATAACAAGGACATGCCATTGTCAATAATCAAATAATCTAGGGATTACTTTAGTATAGATGTTACGTACGGAATAGTATTTTCTCACTAAACCTAGTTTTCATCTACACAGAAAGTCATGGCAGCCATGAACCTTCAAGTTGAACAACCGGGGAGTAAGACGGAGACGTCACAACCACCCTTATGTCCATCATTTTCTTTACTTCCAGACGAGATCGTCGTGCGTTGCTTAGCCCGGATCTCGAGAATGTACTATCCAACACTTTCAATCATTTCAAAAAACTTCCGGGCACTCCTCTCTTCCAAGGAGCTCTACGCAGCTCGATCTCATGTAGGAAGCACCGAGGAGTGTCTATACGTCTGTCTCTCTGATGACACTTACCAATCTCCTCAATGGTTTACTCTCTGGATTAACCCTAATGGAACTCTACCAAACTCTACGATCAAGGAGAAGAAAAAATCGTTGGCTCCAATTCCTTCGTCTGATTTTCCTTCAGTAACAGAATCCACCCTAGTTGTTGGTTCGGAGATTTATGTTATCGGCGGACCAATCAAGACCGAACCGTCATGTCCCTCATCAGCCGTACGAATCCTTGATTGTCGTACTCACACATGGCGTGATGCACCTAGCATGATCTTAGCCCGGAACCATGCTCTCACATGTTTCTACGATGGAAAAATATATGTCATGGGAGGATGCGGAGTACTGGAAGAGCCATGGGCTGAGGTTTTCGACACAAATACACAAACTTGTGAACCTATCTCAGATCCTGGTACTGAGATACGTAAGGGATATAGATGTAACTTATCCACAATCAAAGAGATAAAAGGAAAGATTTACTATTGGGATTCAAAAACGTATGCGTATGACACAAGGCATGGTACCTGGGAGAGTTTTGTTGGGCTTTGGGAGTCAACAACTTGTTTGATCGATGGTGGTGTACAGTACTACTATATTCCGAAGTCAGCATGTGTGATGGATGGTGTATGGTATTATATAAATCGTAATCCCTTGACCTGCTGCTGGACAAAGGATGGAGAACATTGGAAAGTTGTGAAAGGGTTAGACTCTTTAAGAGAGATGTACAATAGGAAGGGTGGCGCTTGTAGAACTACAGCTAAGTTAGTTAGTTGTGGTGGGAAACTCTTACTTTTGTGGGAAGGGTCTATGACACTTATTCCCAGTAAGAGGAAGAAGATTTGGTGCGCGGAAATCACGTTGGAAACTAATGATGAAGGTGATGTTTGGGGGAATGTTGAGGGGATTGATGTTGTGCAAAGAGTTCCCACACAATGTGAGCTCTTGCATTGTCGATCTCGTTGTCTCGGTTTGATTGACTTCTATCTGAGGTACGTACGATCTGATTAAACCCAGTATATTTAGAGTAGAATCTATATAGAGTCAGTGCCTCGAGTTGAGGTATTCTCATATATTCATGAATCCATTTTTGCTAAACTCAGTGGAAGGATGAGTACAATTTAGAGTAGAACAATTTAGAGTAGAATGCTTCTTTTATTCCTTTTGCCAAAGTTGAAGCTTACAAAGTATACTGTCCACTTATATTTATATATATAATAATGTGAATGTCGTGTTGATCAGTTTGGGAAAGGGGAAGGAAGCAGAAGCAATAAGAGAGCAAGAGTTCATGAGAATTTCAAGGTTAAAATTCGTGTTTATGAAGATGAAATTTTATGTGGTGTTTCAAAACAAAATAAATAAATTTTATCATTTCGTCAAACTAGCTACGGCAACTTGGTATTTCTCTCTGGATATATTTTAAGCCCCTTTAAGTGATTATAAAAATTCATTATTTTTCGTAATATACTGGTGATCAAGTCTTTCTTTTCAAGAAAAAGGGTTGCCTTATGTTAGGGGCTGTTCGTTTCTCCATTTATAATCTCCATTCAGCTGATCCATCTAAATGATCCATCCAGATTTTAGGAATTGTTCGTTTTTCCATCTAGATGAGTCATCTAAATGAACCATTTGAATGAATTTCATGTTTGTTTCTTTTTTTTATTTCCATTCAAATGAGTTTGATAAACAAATTACATATATAACCTTGTTTTGATTTAATCATATGTTTGCTATTAATTATAACTATACTAATTAATATTATTTAGTCTAAAATATATTTAAACTAAATCAACCTCCAACAATGCGGGAAAATGCATTTTTGCTGTTTTGGCGGAAAAACGAGGTTTTTCGGATTTGGCGGGAAAACGAGATTATTCGGTTTTATAGAGAAAACGAGATTTTGTGATTTTGGCGGGAAAACGAGATTTTTCGGATTTGGCGGGAAAACGAGATTTTCGGATTTAGCGGGAAAACGAGATTTTTGGATTTGTCGGGAAAACGAGATTTTTCGGTTTTTAGGGGATTTGGCAGGAAAACGAGATTTTTCGGTTTTTTTAGGGAAAACGAGATTTTTCGGATTTGGCGAGAAAACGAGATTTTTCGGATTTGGCGGGAAAACGAGATTTTTCGGATTTTGTGGGTTTTTTCAGTTTTCATGTGTCACGGAATAATTTTATGTATCAGTTTGTAATTTGTAAATTACAACAGGGATATAATAGATATTATACCATTTTGAATGAACCATCTCCATTCAAATGATCCAAATTCGTTCAGCTGAATGAACTTTAAAACTAAGCCTAAATTTCCAAAAATCATTCAAATGGATCATCTGAATGAGTTGTACTTTTTGTGTGTAAACGAACAAAAAACTCATCCCCATTCGAATGGATCATTTGAATGAAGAAACGAACAGCCCCTTATTGCTAGGACTGAAACACATCAGATTGTCTCAGGCATATCTCAGGCTTATAAGGTTAGGCGAGGTATTTAATTCGAGCTCCTACTTTCACTGAAACAGAAAAAATAACATATAGAATAGAACAATTGTCTTGCTGAAACTTCAGATGAAGATGCGGTCCACTTCAAAGTGTAGCACCATGGTGAACATTTCAAGCATGCATGATATGTAAAACAACCTTTAATTAACCCTTTTGGGAACATCCCTCATGGACCAAATATTTTTTTCTCCAAATCTCCTGTATGAATACCACCGTGAACATGAGTCAAATCAAGCAGCATTACTATGGAAGCCACCCTTAGA